TCCTTATGGAGGGCCGAGAGCATCATGATCGAAAGTTATTTGCTCCATCGCCCTATAATTCAGTTGTTTAAAAATCAATTTTACCTTTTCGTTCTATAGAACCATTGTTCATTATGTAGATCAGGTATAGTTACATTGAGCGCTAGCAAACCACCCATATGCATATAACCCATAGGAGATCAAGGAACAGGATAATCAAACACTAGGATGTCCTTACGGGTATCAAAATTAGACACATGCAAATGAGTAATTAATAAAGGTGAGTAGGCATCAAGGTAGATCCCATGCTATACTTGCCTTGGTTAGCAAACTCCTGCTGGTCCTACTGGTCGTCAAAGAACTCATGGTCACCAACGTTCTCCTCACCGTCTGAACACGACCAACACGGCAACATACAACATTCCAGGAACATTCATGCAAAGCAAACAATCCTATGGTTAGAACAGTACACCAATAGTATAGAAATCAAGATAAAATGTTTATGAAAAGGATCTACGTCTCGCTACGATCACGTCAACGCGAAGTTCACGAAAAACGGAGCTAAAACGCGAAAGTTATGATTTAAACGGGATTTCCTATAGCAATTTATTTAACTAAATCTAACCTCAAAATTTAAATGTTGCAAACAGGGTTAACAGTGGTGTTAACATGTAGAGAACTTAATTGCGAACCTAACGAAATTTGAACGGGTCAAATCGGAGCTATAATGACGATTTTATAAGCAAAACAGTGCAATGGCATTTCTGTAAATACTGAAAACGTATTTTGGACTAAAACAGTATATTTTATGTTTTCAAAAGGAGAAAGCGTACTCAGGAAACGTGCTATGGACGGCGGGTTCTATTTGGCCGAACTCGAGGGACTCTTTAGCAAAATCACCCGCGAAGGTGTATCGGCTTAAGTGAGCCGTTAGATCAAGACCGGACGGCTCGGATTAGATCTGGGGAAGGAGAGAGAGAAGGCAGTGGCCGAAAACAGCAGCAGCCGCGGCGGGGCTGCCATTGCCGGCGACGAGGAGCATGCCGGCGTGAACGGTACGGGGGCTACGGGCCACGGTTCGAAGAACCGAGAGCACCGGGGAAAAGAGGGGGTGGAGGGGACCTCGGACAGGCTGATACGGCGGTCGGAGGACGCGGCTGGCGAGGTGGCGGCCATGGCCGGCGGCAAGGAGCTCCATGGCGCACTCGAAAACGGTCATACAAGCCATGAAAATCGAAAATAACGGCATGGGGAGGTAGAGGGAAACAAAGGGGTTCTCACAGCGGGGAAAACGGAGTCGACGGCGGCTCCGGGACGGCGGACCACGCGGTGGTTCCGAGCTCGGCGGGTCCCGGCGCGGCAGTGCGGCGGTTTCCTCGTGCACGGGCGAACGCGAGAGGGAGCGGGGAGACAGTAGAGGGAGCGGGGAAGGTCTCGGCGCCGTTTTATAGAGGCCGGGCACGGGGGACGCTCCCACGACGGCACAAGACGTGGGCGCGGAGGCGGTTGCGCCTTGACCGAAAGCGGGGCGCGCGGGAGGAGGGGGACGGCGCCGACAGGCGGGCCCGAGCGGTCAGCGATTGAGGGAAGGAGGAGGGCGCGGCGGTAGTTGCCCGAGCTGGGCTGGCGGGGCTGACGCGGCGGCGGTTGCCAGCTCGCCCGGTTGGGCCGGCCCAAGAGGAAAACAGGAGGAGGGGAAAGGAGAAGGCGAGTGGGCCGGCGGAGGGAATTGGGCCATCAGGCCAGAATGAGGAAGGGAGGGGAAGAAATGAATTTCCTTTTCTTTTTCCAAATCAAATTTCCAATTTCATTTCCAAACGATTTTTGAATCCTTTTGAATTTAAATCAAAACCACTCAACATATTAAATAAAATGCTACAGCATGAGTGCATCAACATGTATCTATCCTTATGATTGATTTTAATTTCACAAAAATCATTATTTTCCTATATTTTAATGCACACATAATTGCATAAATAAATCAAATTTACTATTTTTAAAGTAATGCAAATTTTAGGGTGTTACACTCTGATCCAATTATGAACTGAACTTTGATCACAAGTGAAGTCTGAAGCCTGATCAGATTATGCAATACGGTTCTGAATAAGGTACTGATGTCCAGCATTCAATGAAATACCTTTGCTTCGGTGGTGATGATTATTCTGAAATCAAGCTCTTTCTATGTGGTTTTGGGTCTTTTTCTCCTTTAGGCCTCGTTCGGCGGCTCATGTTTGAATCCGGCCCTCTTTTGATTCCTGGGCCGGGATTTCAGAGGGATCCGTTCCAAAGGGTCATAGGTGGGGATTGGTTCTGGATTGCAGAGGGGATTGAATGGTCGAAACGGGCCTGATTGGAATCCAGGCCGGCCTTAACCGAACGCCTATTCCAAGCTAGGCTGGTATTCATTCCGCGCCGGCCTGATCCGCGTGGAATGGACCTCATTCCGGGCCGATCCGAGAGAAACGAACGAGGCCTTAATTTGGCTTTTGGATAGGGATAATATATTTTTTTTTCTGTCCCTAGGAGGTGTTTTGAAAATTACATCTGCATTAAGGTTTTTTTTAGAATCCTTCATATCTTCTATGGTCTTGAACTGCTTTGGCCATATTTTCTTCATAAATGTATACACAAAAACATCACTGTGGACGGCTACATTGTAGTCTATATCAGATAATCTGTTTTTGGTACTACTTGAGAGACTCTAATTCATTTACTGTTGCAAGACTATAATGTGTATAGACATTTGGATATTCGGCTTTTAATGCATCCATGCTATGTACACACAATACATTTCACCTGCTACAGTGTAGATCCTTGTTGCGATCAAAAAAATACAATGTAGATCCTTGTGCTGGAAGAATAACCCATAGCTTTCACCTTTCATGAAAAGAGCTGCTTCGCGAGGGCTCATAGCCTCATACTACTGTTTATTTCCTTCTCTTTCCAGTGCTACACATTTACGTCAGCATTTCTCTCAGTTGCTCTGCCTCTTGATATGTTAATTATTGTGGCTGCAACCCGGGAATAAGAGCATGTCCTTCTCATACATCTTAGTTTATAATAAAGAATACACTGGTTAGAGCAACTTCAGGTGTTCCCTATAATTAACTTGCTAAACTAATCAATTTAGTGAGTTTACAAAATAAGTAGCAACCTAAATTTAATTCCCCCTCCAATAGTTTTCTATACTAACTTCCTAAACGATTTTTTATTGGGAACCTCAAACTACTTCTAACCAACCAAGCCCTTTTTAATAGTTTCTTTGTCTATTACCATTTTCTTACCTAGAACATTTTATTTTCTTAATTTACTCATGGGTCTAATTTACTTCAATCTTCTAATAAATACGTCATTGGGGGAGCGGATACAGAGTTCCAATCGACTTCAAAAACTTATGAGTTGGAAGGGGGATTTGGCAAGTTCTTACTTCTAAGGAGTTCTTTTACCAAATTGTTGGAAGGATCTTTTCTCTTTTTGCCAAAAAAATCTAAATAGAGAGTTTATTTAGAAACCTCCTGATGGAGTTGCTCTTAAATGGATGTGTTAGAGTTGTGAGACCGGTATGTTTAATTATTTTATTTAAACTCATTTTAGCTCCATTTATATATTGCCAAAATCATATATTTTTATCTTATTTTTTTAGGTAATACAAATGCTTGAAAGATCGTGAGGTTATCCCACGTATATGAGAAGTGCTATTGACGAGTTGAATTTTATACTATTACATGACATGCGACTATATGTATCTTAATTTTAATTTTGAGAAAATATAGGATAATCCGTGAGTTTATGGTTGAGTTTATAAGAAAAACAAATTTAGTAGATTAGGGGATGTTACTGCTATATCATTTCAAAATCATATTATGATGTCACATATCACAATCATAAGCATGTGCCGAGTTTTCTTAAAAAACATAAATTTAATAGATCAGAGGATGTTAGTTGCTACTATGTCATTTCAAAATCATACTAAGATGTCACTTATCATAACTATAAACATGTGTCTCGCACCTGTATGGCTACTAGTTAGTATTTAAGATACTAAATAAGTGCACTAGCTTGTGTCGTCGTGAATGGAATAGGGTAGCACATGCTCTAACTGCTATCGGGGAAGATGTACCTCACGAGGTTGAGACCTTTTGACCGGCGATTTAGCCGGGTCTAATGAGTAATAAAAGGTCCGAAAGTCTCAAAAAAATGTAAAACTACGAGATTCTAAAATACAGGAATGAAAAATTGTGATGTTTAGAACGTAGAAAAGATATTTACTTCTTTCCGGTTCAAACGGGCCTAAGTAGTTCCTTTCCGGTGAAAGAGGATACTGTGTTTGGTTCAAGAAATAAGGTGATTCATCATTTCCTCCCTCTTCATATTTTTTGTTCCATCATCATTTTATTCTTACGAGAAATAAAATCATTCCACCAAATTTGAATAATAGAGTTTGATTAGAGTAATAACTAATAAGATGATCCATCACTTTCTCACTCATCATTTTTCTTTTGTTCATCATTCCTCGCAAGCTAATAATTAGTATTGATACGAAAAATAAGTCATTCCATCAAATTTCAGGAATAAACTTATCACCTCATCTAAAATGAAGTAAACACTTATAAAATTCCCTACTAAAATCCTATGATTCAAACAGGCCCTAAATCTGGATGGACCTGTACCACCTGCTGCTATGCTACCAAAGAATAACTAGGGCACAGGGACTGATGCTTATGTAGGTCAAAAAACTAGGGCCGCAAACTGCTGACAAAAATGAACTAATGTAACTTACACATACAAAAAGGGTACTGTACCTTGTATCAAGGAAAGGCATCACAACAAGGTTCCTGACTATCCGCTCCTCCTATACAAATCTAGTGAAAACTGAAGAACTGTGGCAATTAGTAAATTTAATGTTCAAAAATTGTGGCTGGTAATCTCGCTTTACATATAACTGTACAACCTCAAAAATCCAGGCAACGTGATCAGTGGAAATAGGCACAAAGCTTGTAGGGCGATGAGTTCCGTCTTGTTTAACTGGCTGCAGTTATCTCAGTTGGAGTTGTAGAGCAAATGCACGAGCAATCTGTTCCATTGGTGCCTCTTTCAAGCAACCGTTTGTTGCGGTTAATCAACAACTTTATCAGTGGTGCTTTAAGAGATACTTGGCGCCAAATCTCATTCACTGGTCCATTCGGATCCTCGTACTCAAAGTAATGTTTCACCTGAAAAAGTCATTCGAATTTCAGCGAATAAGAAAATTATTAACAGATAAATATACTGAAAGAAATTTGAATGTGCATGTCATGCCTCTGAAATCTAAATTTTATGCAATATATAAGACTAGATTGAAACATCACATGTTCCTGCCTCACACCACATATCTCCATCCCATGCATGAATAAGGGCGCAATCTGTTATGGACCCATCAGCTTGTTCTAGTTATTTTGTTCAATCAACCATATGTACTACTCCCTCCGTCCTAGAATGATAAGTATATCGTAGACTAACAATTACTCAAATTTTATACAAGTTTAGGATATAAAACTTGCATCAGTAGATTTGTATTCAAAGTGTTTTTTAGATGATATTGATTCTTTAGCAAATGACAACATATTGTGAAAAAAAAATAAGGGTCAAAATCTACTTTGTATGACTTTTCCCTGATCAAAATACACATATCATTTCAGGACGGAAGGAGTACATAATGAACCAGCAATTCAGTGCAATGTACCCACTTGCAACCACAAAAGTATACTACCATATAAGATCGAATTAGTGAAAGAGCACAAAATAGCTCATATATGAGGCCAGAAAGTAATCATATGCCCAAAGTGACAGTTTGTCAAAACAATCCCCAAAGCACTATATATCCACATTCTTACTACATATTCTAAGCCAAACAAGAATGAAATGGTGGGGTGATCTTCTCTGGCAAATGCACCGAGTAGCTGACTCAGATGTCAAATGTACACAGAAGTGGAAAGTACAAATGGAATTTCTTGCTGAGGCATGGTGATGGCAGAATTTCATGATAGTCTCTAGTTATGCTAACGACATTAAATCCTCAAAGGCTGATCGATGAGGAAGTTTATACTTCAGTCCCCATAAATTTATTTTTCAAATCCTTTGAAGCTTACTGAGCTACAGTCAAAATGTTATTACATCATTCAGGCACCACATATTTTCCAACATGCTTTGTATGTGCAATCTACACATTGTTTTCCATGTTAAAAGAACAAAATTCACTGCACGAAACAATACAGCAGCCAAGAAACATCTAACCTATCATTGGAGCAACCATTTGTCTCAGGAATAAGGCATCTCTAAGAAAGAGCTGTTTATAAGTAGAATAGCATGCATCTTACAGATGCAAACAGCGGTATGATATAGGTTAGTCAGTACTGACCTTTTTTATTTCCCTCTGGTACTCCAGAATCCTCTCTGAACTGATTCTTCGAAGCATTGAAGTTAAGTATCCAGGTTGTAATGCTTTGCTTGTCCCAACAAATATTGATATTTTATTGTAGTCTATAATATCTTCGAATGGAAGTTCAATGTAATCACTGACTATAACAGGAACACACAGACTGACAAGTGCATCAAATAATCTGCATGCTGAGGGAGTATCTCCAGCAGGATGGAGGCAAAATTTAGATGAGTGCATTCCTTGTCTAGCTGCACGACGACTCTCCCTTGATTGAGTTCCATGTTTTATGGTTACATCATCCTCGTTTTCAAGAATCTGGAAAAGCGCATCACGAACCTTCCCTCCCTACAATATTCAGAATGACAAACTGTAGCATAAGTACATAACATTGCATAAACATAGTACAAAATCAGAACAGGACACTGACTGTAACTCCATTGACAAGGAAAACAACGATGAACTATATGTAAAAGAAACTAAGGCTCAAGAGACACTTTGATTAAAAGGAACAAAAAAGTCAAACTAAAGGATGCAACATAGTAATGCTTTGACATTTGTTTTTTTTAACAAAAGAGGGATACTTGACGAATTTTGGATGGGGGGGCTTCTAAAGACTCTTGAACAAATTTTTTTTTGCTTGTTTCAAACCAAAAAGAAAAAAAAGTATGCAACTTCCCTTTTTTTCTCATATATTCCATACTTAATTTATCTTATCAATCATGATTTTGTGTTTCTTATCAGGATGTTGCGGATGATTGGATACTGCAGTTGTTGTCTTCTATAGTGTTCCTACTTCCTAACAAAAAAAATTGCCTTCAACAATGATATCACATTCTATGCATAGAAGGTGAGCAAAAGAAAAGGAGCCAGGTAATTGAAACAGAAACAAAAACGTTTCAGAGGCCAACTATGGCAAATGAAATTGTCAAAAAAGACAAACTTTTTGGTAAAGTATCCAAAATAACTGGATATCTTGAATTGAAGATTGCAGAACTCTAACCGCTACGCAATTCTCAAATTTGACAAATTTCTGAATCAACAAGCCCTTACACATAATTCAAAAAATATACTGAGATCAAAAAATTGTTTGAGGGGTTTGTATATGTTGCCCTTGAAACCAATTGTCTTAAGAAACCCCAGTTGACTTTTCCTTGTTCAATTTTCCTTGGGCATCGGTTCCACAACTTGCCATAGAACAAAACAAATTCAAAGCAGGCACAATTGCATCCTAACTACTGGGAGTTTATCTGCTACTTCTACCGCTTCCTGGATAACAAAGCTAGAGCTGGTTCTCTGAGTAGTTGGTTTGATCAGATGCTTGATGATGTTGGCGCAATCTGACCCAAGTGTACCTTCTGGGGGACTTGAGGCATCCAATTCGCAGCCAGGGATAGGTCCTGTCTAGATGCACATGCCTATCTCTCTTCAAGCACATAAAAAGAGCAGAATTCAGTCACTCACGAGCTCACCCAGCTAGCAAAACGGTTGTTTCATATTGCAGATTGCAATCATTGTCCAGTGTGTAATTCTTGCTTCAGTAATTTGTAAAGCTCTCTCTTTATTCACAAAAAGAAAAGGCATCCTAACTCTGTTTCTTCTAAGCTCCATCTTTATACAAGACAATATGCATATAAGAACACCACCAATATAATACCATTTAGTTAATACTTCCTCCGTCCCAAAAAGAGTGCAATTCTTGCTTTTCGAGGAGTCAAACAATGTAAAGTTTGACCATAATTATGTACCGAATAAGTATCATTAGACTATTTATGAAATATATTTTCATAGTAAACCTATTTGGAGACATAAATGTTGGTACTATTTTCTATAAATTTAGTCAAACTTATTAAATTTTTTTGACTTGGTTCAAATCTAGAATTGCATCCTTTTTAGGATGGAGGGAGTATCAATTAAGAATGTTGTGCACATTAGCAAACTACAAGTTCCAAAGGGCACCTTCACTTGGTTGTCTATACTCTACAGCATATATGCCCCCCTTAAAACACAGTTGTACTTAAACTGACCAATGCCCCAATCAGATTAAATTCATCATGTTTCTTCCAAAATTCGAGAGTTACCTCCTTGCGGTACCTATTGCCCATGAAGAACAGCAATGAGGGCCGGCCATCCACCCCGACCTCACCCTTGAAGGAGTTGATTCGGTGTGAGTAGGGCAGGATGACATCCTTGACGAGAGATGCCTGATCGCTGCGCAACCTGCCGAAATCAGAGACCAGGAGTACGGCATTGCTGATCCGGTCGATCACACTGTACAGGGCATTGGGGTCCTGGCAGATGAAAACGTGATCCCTCCCCCTGTGGCGCCGCCAGTAAGGCTGCCGCTCCAGCCACTCTAGCAGCTCCTCTTGCATGGCCTCGTCGCTGTACGCTGCCGCCGCCCCAGAGGCGTTTGCTGCCGGCGGAGAGCGGATGGGGTTCACAACAAGGCTGAGGGAGGAGAAGAAGGGCACGTAGAAGAGGTCGGCATCGCTCGGGTCGTCCACGCGTGCCATGGGGTGGTCCCACGGCCTGCGTCGGAGCAGATCCATGAAGAGACACCACTCCGCCGCGTGCTGGTGTCCCGGGTACCGCAGCTGCTCGTCGGGCAGAGCCGCCGCGGCGTCCGCCGAGCCCGACGGCGCACGCGCAGCCGTGTAGCTCCGGACGACGCCATAGGTAAACTTGGCGGGCAGGTCGTACAGGTAGATCTTGACGGGAGCAGGCGGGGCGGAGGTTGACGCCGGAGATGAGGAGGCGATAGCGGAGCCCGAGCTGAGGGAGCGGGAGAAGACGGAGGCGGAGGGGGAGGAAGGGGAGAGGATAAGGAAGAGGAGGGCGAGCGAGAGCGTGAGGAGTAGGAGGAGGACCGGGGAGGGGCGGCGCGACGGCATGGCGCGCGCGGCGAGCGCGAGGAGGGATCCCGGGAGGAGGAGATTCAGGCGGGGTGGCGGCGACGACGGGGGCGGCGGCACGAGGATCGGGGACGGGCGGGGCTTGCGGGGCGGCCTGCCGCGCTCCCACATGGGGCCGCCCACGCGGTGGGGTGGGCGGGGATGGGGAGGTGGAGTGCCGGCGGAGGGAGTGAGGCGGGGGACGACGGAGATTGGGATGCGAGTACGACGTCGTGGCCGCCCACTGACATGGGTAACTGACTGTGGGTCCTGCCCGTGGCCGCCCACTGACATGGGTAACTGACTGTGGGTCCTGCCCGTCGGTGGCTGTAGACTCATAGAGTAGCATTTTTATTTATTTTATTGAAAAAAAGAGAGGAAGTTAATCCCTCCATTTTCACGTGTTGAAAAGGTCATGTGAAATTTAGCCAAATTCATGTTTGGAATTTCTAAGAAAAATAAAATTTATGTAGAAAAATGAGAATGAAATACAGACACGTTCCAAAATGAGATTTATACCTACTATTTTGAGATTTTCACTATGCAAAAATCAATCATCACTATGAGTCTGATCGCATCAATATTGCATTGTATTAAGGGTTATGCAGCAATGCCCTTAACCTATATCGTGGGCGTCTACGTTGTACTGTGTAATTCTCAAAAAAAAAAGTTGTTGTTTGATCCATCTAAATCTGTAAGTGGTTAGACCGAGCCTTAAGGTGCAGTCAGATGCGCAAGCGGTGATGCATAGATGGATAAGCAGGATCTTGGCCAAATTGTGGGATGCATGTTGGGTTTGCTTTGAGGACACTAACATGCATATAGGGTTGTTTAGGTAACCAAACACGGGCAATGAAAGCTCTAACCAAACATGGACAATGAAAGCTATGCTCTTCTCCTCCTCCTCTTCTTGCTCATCACTCTCATTATCATGATCAATTTTGTCACGAGTGATGATCTTCTCCCAATACTTGTGTGGAAGTGAGGTTCTTCAATCCACCTCTCGAGATCACAGTGACTATGATCTTGAACTTCTTGGGAAGACATCTCAAGAACTAGTGAGAGAAGACGTCATCACTCATATTTTGTCCTAGTCTTCTCAATTTATAGACAATCACATTTACCGTACAGAACATCTCCGGGATACTCTCCACTCGATATTTGGAACTTTGTATATTTGTCTTTGAAAATATATAGCTCGATATCCTTTACCGCTGTAGTACCCTCATATACTTTCTCTAATCCCTTCTACACCTTATGTGCCATCTCCAAATCCTTGATGGTCTACAAGACCTTGGGATCCTATGCTTCATAGATCACATTGAGGGTTGTTCATTGAGTTCAAGCTTCTCCTCCTCTCCTGGACCAAGGAAGGATCCTTCGTATCAAGCACAGCAAACTTCGACTACTACTCCCCAAATCTTTTTCCCATAACTTTAAATAAGCACACATTCTTCCCTTCCAATAGTCATAATTTGTGCCATCAAAGTTGGGGGGCTTGCCAATACTATTGCTAGACACTCCTTTACTTCAAAATGGTTAACTCTTCAAATTAATTGAGGCTTGACTCTAATACCACTTGAAAGGATCTTTGGATGGCTAGATGGGGTAAATAACCTAACTAAAAAATCTATGAACTCACAAACACTAGACAAAGAGGTTAGATACAAAGGAGGCCCTAATAGTTCTACTCTAGTTAGTGTCTTGCAAACTTAGGGTGATCAACAACCTACACAATTCGAATGTCACAAATATGAACTAAGCATGTCACTAGAGTTGGATCAACCAGGTCAGTTTTCTTACTAAGATGATAAATCCTAATAGCTCTATTGTAGGAATAGTAAGAACACAAAGTAAAGCACAGGAGTAGAGTTATCAAGTGGAATACCACATAAGGGATGACAAAGATATATCACCTATAGTACAGTAACTTGATGGTCACCTACGTCCATGTTGAGGCAAGCCCAAGGATCATAATTCCTCTATCAAAGTTAACAACCCCACAAGGTTGGCTCTGATGTGAGCACTTGATCTCAAGCTGGCTCGATCACAAAGTGCTATCTAAGCCCCTTTTCCACTAGAGTTGTTCTTTGCCTTCTCCGATGGGGATGAACCTAATAGCCCCTCACACACCTCTGGAGCACCTCACAATCTTCAATTGAGTCCTGCTACTTCAAGTCGTCTAGGTGACGGCAACTACCAAGAGTAACAAGAAAACCCACAAAAAAGTTCATCTTTAGTGCTACTTAATGTAATCTCTCAAAGCACATGCACTAGAATCACTCCAATACCATGAAGAATGTAATCTCTACCAAGCAAATGTGAGTGGAGGTGTATCTTGAGCTCTAATGTGTGTGGATATTAGCTAAGAGGTCTAAGAGTTATATATAGACTAGCCACACCTGTATTTATACGTCTACTCAAGAAACTAATCGTTGCCAACTTGATTTGGTA